TTCCAAGACTAAAATAAAAAAAGACTCGTTCAAGAATACGATTGAACTAACTATGCAATTTTGTTTTTAAATGTTTTTTACACTAAAAATTGCTGATCACTTCCTGTAGTTGTCGTCGAAATATTCAGCTAACATTCGCTTCCCTTTAATTAGTAGTCTATGCTTTCTCATTTTACAATACATTTGAATAAGATATACAAATAAAGTTAAAAGTTAAAAAAAAAGGTTCTAATCGAACCGAATCGACTTATTCATCAAATACTCGAAAACTTCGACTATTCCTCAAAGCTACCGAATTGTTGTCAGTGTTTCCGAGTATCTTGATACAGACTAAAAAATATTTTGTTCTTGAAAGTATAGTTTTAAAAATTCCCAGCCGAAGGTTATAATGCTTTCTTTTTCAAATTTTTCTCTGTTTGTATTTTTTTAATCGCGCCTGTCAGAATCCTTGAAGAAGCTTCATTGTAAACAACAGCTCTGTTTTCTTTTGAATGAGCACGTGATGGACTATGAAACATCATAGTATAGAGTTGAAATTTTTTATACGATTTGAATGTCTCTAGAATAAGGTCGACTTTTGAGGCGCGTAGGTCGTTAATTCGTTTCAGTAACATGTTTGTCTCAGTTCCAAGGTCGAATTATTCCTATATTCCTGTCTTCTTCTAAAGCTGCTTTTTTTTTTCTTGTTAAATAAATATTCATCTAAATCCAATATTTGCCTGTTTTAATTTGAAGGTATAAGAAAATATTTCTTAAACATTTAGAATAAATTTACTAACAACTTCATGTATTTTTATTCTATGCAAACTATGGCTTCATTCTTTAAAAAAAAAAGAATCTTGAATGTAATCAATCGATTAATCATACGACTAGTTTCATTAACATTTAAATCAACATCTCTGTCTACTTTGATAAAGAATTCCTTTTTTTTTTATGAATAATTACCTTTTTCGATATGCTGTTGCTTCTTTTGGTTTATATATTGCTGAATTAATTTTATCAACAATCCATATAAACATTTTTCCATAGATTCCTTTAACAAATGCATCACTAAAAATGAAACATATATATATATATGATAAATTTATTTCTAAAAATAAGATCCATACCGAATATCAAAAGCTTGTTCTTGATTAAGTGGAGTAATAACAGATTCACCATGAGCAAGTATCGTACGATTTAATAAACCATTACTGAGACCACTTTCATCAATCTAAAACACAGAGAATTTTTATTTTTTGAATACGAATATAATTTTTGTTTTTACTTTAAGTAATTTTGAAATAATTCGAAGTATATTTGTATTAGCGACTATACATGTATCCATATTTTTAGTAGTTGTTGCTAAAATTAAAATGATTTTTTTTTTCTATTGTTCATCGGAATTATTAATGAAAATTTACCTTCAAATTTTAAATTTCCTAAATGTAAAATAGCTGATAATAATCTAAATATATCACTTAATTCATCATCACTAAACATTAGCACTTTGCAAGCACTTTTTATTGTTGACCATTCTTTTGCATCATCTCGACTATCACAATAAATTGTTCCATCGAGCTAATAAAAAAAAATCGTTTCAATATAAAATTCTTCTCGATTTTCTTTAAAAAAAAAACAATACCTGATTAAGATAAACATAATCACTAGCTACAGTTAAATCTAATGAATGTTTTTCTTCTTTTGACATTCCAGATAACAGACAATAAAAAATATGATAATTTCGTTCATCTCGAGCCTAAATATATTATCAATATCATATGTTTTGTAATCTTATTTAAAGAAGAAAAAAAAAAAATCAAATCAACAAACCTGAGATACAATACGAGATTTTTCTAATAGATATTGTTCTATTTTTGCTCCTTCAATAGCTCCTCGTTTATCAAAATGTATATCAATATATTTTCCAAAACGAGATGAATTATCATTACGAACTGTTTTAGCATTACCAAAAGCTGCAAAAGAAAAAAACCAAAACAGATATTTTATTTTCTATTAATCGTTTCTTTTTTTTGTTTTAACCTTCAAGTATTGGATTAGCATCAAGTATTTGTTGTTCAATCCATGAATGTTGTCCACTAGTTGCAGCCAAAAATTGTAAAATTAATTTTGTTGATTCTGTTTTTCCACTTCCACTTTCACCACTAATAATAATACATTGATCATGTTGATAACGTTGCATACTCCAATATGCATTATCACCAATAGCAAATATATGTGGTGGTAATTCACCTATTTTTCTATTAGAATATTGACGAATATTATCAATATTATAAATATTTAATAATTTATATGGATTAACAGCAACTAAAATTGAACCTGTATATGTCTAAAATTATATATTTTATTTTATGAAAACAAAAGAAAAATTATTATTATTTTTTTTTTTTCATTTACATAAATAATATTTTTTTTATATCGCATATGAAGATTATGAAGTATAGCCGATTCTTTAAGATCACCTAATAAAATCATATCATCAACACCTTCAACAGAAGTTACATGCATTAAACGAAATTTTGTTTGAATCGGAAATTTTAATTCCTAAATGAATATTATTCAATATATGATTGAAACACAAAAAAAAACAAAAAAACTTTTACTTCTTCATTATCATCAATTAAAATAATTTGTCCGGTTTGCGTAGCAACCACGCGAGCACCAATTTCAACATTGAACTCACTGCCGGTCTGCGGATCAACCCAAACATGATCACCCTATGGATATGAAAACAATAATAGTTTTTTCTTTATTAAATAAAAACAAAAGAAAAAAAAAAAAAAAGATTCTTTTTTTTGCCAGCCAAAGCAACCTGTAACATGTAATTGTTAATTGGTATTAATGGCATTGTATTTCTTCTTATATTAATTTAATCAATGGATGATTATCTTTATATTTTCATTTATTGACTAAGCGTAAGCAAATGTGTGTTTATATGTTGATTGAAATTACGGGTCTTGCCCTCTATGTATACATTTAGTGAACATCATTCAAGTACAATTACGCTATACGTGTGGTCATATATTGACATTCTCTCTTTCTTTCTCGGTTTTTTTTTTTTCTTCACTGTCCTTTATTCTTTCTCGTTTTATACATAAGACAATAATAATTTATGATTAATAGAGAGATCTCAAGATTTCTTATCACATACTCTTATTAGCACAGTAAGAGTCAATAGTTATAGTAACAAAAGATGACTCAACTTTCTTCGTAAATAATCGTCGTCAATCAAATATTATTATCAAGCTTGTTGCATAAAAAGAAAAGAAGAAAAGAAATTTTTTTTTTCTTCTTTGACTACTACATATAAATTACTGCAATCGTTGAATGTATATATGAATGTATGTGAATAAACCTGGATCAACATTGAATATCAATAGACATAGAGGAACGACAAGAAAATTTAGAAAATGAGCACACGTCAAAATCAGCGAATATTACCGTCGACAACGACACATAGTTTACTAAGAGATCACTTTCTGATGTCGACAACTAAGTACATGATGTAATATAGAAAGAGAATCAATGGTAAATCAAGATGGAATATATAGAGCAAAATTTTCAAAAAGCAATTAAATCATAGTCAAAAAAAATGAACAAATGAAAAACAATTTTATCAATATTTAAATACCCGAGAAAATTTCATTATAGTTCTATGTATGAATTACTATAGTTAATTAACAGAATAAAACTTAGTGTTAAATAACACAAGAAAATATATAATTTACTTACTTTTGATACGCTCACCATTCAGTATAAACCTGAAAGGAGACGTAAACTAATATATAACAATTTGAACGTATGAAAAACAAACTTTTATAAAAACATATGAAAGACAGAGAAGACAAATTCGTTAAAAATAGTTGTGGCACAAACATACACACTTAGAGATTATGCATCACATTTTCTTCGTCTTTCTTTCTTTCTTTCAGGTAAGTATATGCTTGCATGCCCGTCCGCACAAGGTAGTCGACTGCAAAGAATGGTTCTCTTCTTCTTCTTTTCTTCTCGCTTTTGCTCTCTAACGTTTTTTTTTTTTATTTGAACAAAATATTCTCTTTTCTCATGCATGCCTATGTGTGAGTTCGTTTTGCGTTCTCTATCTTGCAGTTGTAATGACTGACCAAATGTAATCAATGTGTATGAGTCGCCATTCTGCTGTCTCCTTCTTCTCGGGTTTTTTTTTTTCTTTATTATTATTCTTATACCGAGCTCAAATAAATGAAAGAAGAAGAACGAATGGCTCTTTCTTTTTCTTTTTACTCAGACAAATAGTGTCGACAGCTTCTCAATCACGAACATATTCTACCATCTGATCTGTCAACTAGTATGCCATACAATTTTTCTTTTTCGATTTGTCCTAATGTCTATAAAGGAATGTTTACTACTATGTATCGACCCTGAAAAATAAAATAAAAACGAGACAACAATTAATTTAACGTCTGGATTTACACGTTACAATCAGATCAATGATCAATATCAAGCTTTTCTTTTAAGCTAATAATACTTGATACCGGCCTTGTCTTTTTTACTATCGTAAAAAAGAAATAGCTAGAGCATACAATTTGTAAAAAGTATAAAAAAAAAAGGACTTGAGTATATTTTATCAGGCGATATCTATCTGCTTATGTTGACATTTAATGTTCCATTTCGAATAAAACCTAAGAAAAGAACGAAAGAAATTTTCATGAAAAAGAAATATGTTTTTAAAGTAAATATTTTCTTTTGAAGACTTCTATGGTAAGTATAATGATTCATATAGGAAAGAAAGAAATAAAACGAAGATTAAATATCAATTTTGATTGAATTATTTCAAAGAAAAAATAACTCTATTTTAATTTGAAGTTTGAAAAACTTAAAAACAGATGTCGTTAAATATATATTTGATTGGCTTAGAAGAACATTCATAAAAAACCAACAGTAGAAAAAAATACTCTTCTTTCAAAACATATATTTATTCAAATTTATAAATTTTATATTGAAAATCTAATAGATTAAAGATGATTCAACTTCATGTAGATATTCTTCAAAATCTTCAACAAGCAATATTTGTTTTTAATATTCCATGTTCAGCGTAAGTTGCTTTTTAATATATAAATTTGTACAATATTTTTAATTACAATGATTCATGACGAGAATTTCTTGTTTGATTGATAAACATCTAATTTTCTACGAAGTTAAATTTTCAATAAATGTTCTTCAGATGTTTCTTCTATTCAAATATGTATTATATAAATTAGAAGATTTGATGACAGAAAGTAAATTTACAGTCATGGAGTAACCTTTAAGAATAATCAACTATGATTGATATAGAAGTCTGATATTTCCACATAAAGATTAGTTAACAGTTTTTGGTCAGAATAATTCTTATGGATGGTATATAAACTTGTTAAGAACAGAACAAATAACTTAAAGTACAAAAACATCTACATACTGTCGATACTTACGTAATAGCGAGACTATTCATGTAATCGAGTTATATTGAAATTGAAAGTACAGAATTGAATGTTTTTTTTTACTTTTATCTTCACTATAACAATAATAGATTGGACATAGAATTGACTTTGTGTCTTCATATTATGAATATATTAGAAATGTATAGGCATCAAAAAACACGAATGATATAGATTTTTTTCCAACTACATAAGAAAAAAAATATAGAAGATGTTTTAAAAGCTTAGATATTGAAATAAAATTGAAATTATTAATTATATCATAAATTAATCACTTAAGCTAGAGTGAACGACAAGTAACATGTGTATTGAATAAAATTTATACATTCAATATAGAATTCCGTCGACATTATTTGAAATCAACAATCAACTCATTGAAGATTTTTTCATTGTAAAATATGAAGTAATAGAGAAATTGCAAACTGCTATCTGATATCATTTTCTATGTTTGATGTTGGATTCAGACGATGTTAAATAATTTCCATGACTACACACTCGGTCATGGACATGCTTTCTTATAAGTTGAAGCATTGCTTCATTTTTCAATTAATCTAAAGAAAATCATTCTAATACGAACAAATAAAATGTTTATGAAGTTGAGATGAAGATAGGTTTAATTAACGATTGGTATGATTTGATTTAGTAATTTGTATCATGTTTTTCAGTTAATTGTGTATACACTCTGTATAAATTAGGTTGATAGAATTCATTTAACAGAGATCGTATTAAACTGATTTAAGAATAATAAGTTATTCAAACTTTACATTTTTCGATTTCTTAGATCTATCTCGGTTACTGCATGCATTTTTTCATAACGAACCAATAATTCAACGCAGAGAAAATCATAATCATAAAAAAGCAATAAATACTTCTCGATTCTTTATTTGGTATTAATATAAACTGAAAGATTTGAAACGAAATCAAAATCTCGAGATAAAAAATAAGGTATATAAATTGTTTGAAACAGACTTTGATTCTTTAATACGAATAATTTTCTTTATATGAACTTTGAATTGAAATATTGCTTCAAACTATTGAACAGCATGTCTACTGCCAGTTCTATTCACAGAAATCGTTTAACATCATCAAATCCCTATATCAAATGTAGAAAGTGGTAGTAGACTGAAGTTACCAATGTCTCTCAACCATGCGTTGATGTTCTAATTTATTCTCAGAAAAGTTTTCTTATATTGTCGAAATGCAAAAATTAGTTAGAAATATATATTCTAAAATACGAAAAGTCATCCATCAGTTAATTGTTATTTGTTATCTAGTTGATTTTCAATAACTTCAAGAGAAGATATATTCTACCACTATCATCTGTTAGCTGTGTTACAAACGCCAGTAGCAATATTTATGGTAGCATACAAGTCAGTTCTTTTTTCGAAAAATAGGACATTAATAGAAAATATTTGCAAGCTATATGGAATATAAACTACTCTGAAGTCAGACAAAATTATATGTAATGCATCATCAAAATGATATTAAATAAGATTTAAATCACCATTTACGTTATAATAGCTTCATTACGATAGTATTTGAGAAATATGCTTATCGTATAATTATTTACTAAATAATAACATAATATATTCAATTGACAACGAGCGACATATTTGTACTCATTGATTATGTTGTAAATTGAATATTTAATATTAGTTTGATGATAACGAAAAAGAAAAGAAACGTTTAATAATACTGTGAACTGTGATTCATTACAATTTTGATCCATTACAGTAGGGCAAATGAATCACGAATTTGCCCACATTTCAATTTTTTTTAATCTATTAAGGATAGAAAATTAAATGTCAATAATATAGATATCTGACGGACAAATGTCTTCAAAGTCTATTCATACAGTGCGCGGCCAAAAAAGCATGTACATTTTTGTTTTTACTCATGAACGAATAATAAGGGTACTCTGAAAATTTTCTCTCATATCAGACTTTGTAGAACTTTTTTCGCTGATCATTTTGGTAAAAAAATTTTTTGATTTTCATTGAGTAATGATGATGTTATAGTCAAAATACTAAACATTGTCAAATAAAGTAGGGAAAAAAAGTTTAGCATGCTTTTAGTATTTGATTAATTTTTACGTCATTTCACAACATCTGGAAGATGTTCTATATACCATTCGACGCAGAATTTAATGGGCTACATTTTGGTAACAAGCACTTATACTTCTATTATAGTTAATTATTAGCCAATAATTAGTTAATTATTAGTTAATAATAATCAGTAAATAATCAATAAATTTTTGAGTTGTTGGGTTCTTACTAGATGCCGTTTGAAAGAAGAAGTGATGCTCTTCAAAATGCGCCAGTTTTCACGTATTTCATGTGCCGTTTCATGGTTGAATTTATTAAAAATAATGAGCACTATATCTAATTACAACTGAACATACTCTGAAAATCACACTAAAACCTCACTAAATTCGTTGCCTCCCAAATAGTAATTATAGAGTTTTGTTCAGTTTTTAATGCTCTTTCATATGAAAGAGTCAGAATTTAAAAACAACTCAAAAATTTATTGATTATTTCCTGATTATTATTAACTAATAATCAATTAATAATTAACTAATAATTGGTTAATAATTAACTATAATAGAAGTATAAGTGCTTGTTACCAAAATGTAGCCCATTAAATTCTGCGTCGAATGGTATATAGAACATCTTCCAGATGTTGTGAAACGACGTAAAAATTAATCAAATACTAAAAGTCTGCTAAACTTTTTTTCCCTACTTTATTTGACAGTGTTTAGTATTTTGACTATAACATCATCATTACTCAATGAAAATCAAAAAACTTTTTTACCAAAATGATCAACGAAAAAAGCTCTACAAAGCCTGATATGAGAGAAAATTTTCATAGTACCCTTATTATTCGTTCATGAGTAAAAACAAAAATGTACATGCTTTTTTGACCGCGCACTGTATCATATAATATAATCTTTCGATGTTCGTCATATTTAATTACTTGTAAAGTATTTGTTCATCATTGATTTAGTTAAATTCTGCAATCTATTCTTTTGTTAACATATAATAAGCATATGATTGCCATATTCAGCAACATCAACATGTAGTACATTCTTTCCTATAGTTCAATTCCATTCAAACAAGCTTGAGACAATCAGTTTCATAATTTTTATGACAAATAGTGTCCTAGAGTGTTATTTTTCTAGTATTGATACTTATACCATATGGTTGTAAATTAAAATGTTAGAGAATAATTATCATTTTACAATGAATATCATACATTTTATTTCATCAATAATCAACTAAGGTATAGAATGAGAAAGCAAAAATACATAAAGAAATTAGATTTATTATCGGTTTTTTCGTATACTGCATGGTTGAAACTAGTACATCATAGAATATGACAGAGAAATGTAATTTCCAATTTTTATGATTTACAGATATTTTTATTAAGTATTCTGTTCGATTTTCTTTATAGTGATTGTAGTGTTCAAGCTGATCAATTTGTTATTGAAGATGAAGAACAACATCATCAAACTGTAATTCACTTCAATAATCTAATAATAGATGTTAACAAAGGTACTGAAGTTGCATCACCATCGACAAATACAAATGTAATTAGAGATGGACAAATTCATCGAACATTCAAGTACATTGTATCGATTTTATCATATAAATATCTTACTTTTTCTTTGTTTAGATTTCCATTTCTTCGTCTACCTATCATAACTGACAGTAAGCCATACGATTTGAATAATATTACATGTGCCAAGTGTCAATCGCCTTTGAAGATCATTGCTGAAAAGTATAGTTCATTGCATTTTTAAACAATAGTGTTTATCTTATTTTTCATCATAGTCAAACTTTTAAAATTGTTCAACAGCAAAATGCTAATGCTGATGATATAAATGAAGTCATGTATTGTCATCGATTTTGTGAAGCTCATCAACATGAACATAAACATCATCATCAATATCAGTTGCCTGTTCCTCTTGATCTTCATTCTGAATTGATTATACTTGAAACTACCGAATGTTTAACTATTGCAAAAGAATATTCATCTTCAGATTTAATTCATGATGAACTTGTTCAATGCAATCATTGTTTTTCATGTCTTGGATCATTTGGTATGTTAAATTCAATATTCTCATTAATTAAAACTTCTATTTTAATGAGGAAAATATTTTTACTCGTCCTATTGAATTTCACTCAATTTTTTTGTAATTATTAGATGTATTTTTATTTAGACCCTCAAAATAATCTTGTCTCGTTCAACAAATGTTCACTTTTACCTTTTGCAAACAATTATCTATCAACATGTTTTCATCACTGTGAACCAGGTCGATACATCATCAAAGTGCCAAAGTCTAATGATTCAATATTCCTTGTTTGGATCTTACCTAATCAAATACTATCTGCTAATACAATGATTGATTCATCAAAAAATTCTACTCAACTTGATTTTTATCGAATGCGAAAAGTTCTCTTCACTCATGTGACATCCTCAGATAATCAAATATTTACTGAATGGAAACGAGACTTTTCTGTAACAACTCTTCTTGTTAATCGTCTTTGTCTTGATCATTTAGCAATAGCATTTAAACAAGCAATAGAGAAATTTCCTAATGTATTCAATAGTAATGAATCATTTCAATCAGTAACTATTTCTTGTTAAAAATCATTGTTATAAATAAAAACTAAAGAATAGATAATTATCTATGTCTTATTTTGTGTATATACATATCAAACGAAAAAGTCAGACAGTATATTGTCTTCAACGATTAATCCTTTGTTTGTATCAAGCAGTATAAGTAGTAACAAATGTAAAATGTTAATAAGACCAAACAGCAATTAGTTGACGATCGAATGAACGAACAAAAGAAAAGAAATAATGATATCTATCTAGTTCATTCATCAGCATAGATACAAAAGCAAATTATTTGACACAAACAACTATGGAATCAAACGATAGCAATACAAAAGATTGTTCTACTATATATCGTTTTCAATTTGCTAGTATAGCTTTTCTGTGTAGTGTTTATCTTCCATTTACATTTCATTCAAATATATGGTCACTTTATACACAACCATTTACACCAGTTAATTGTTCAATGAATAAAAATCCAGTTATTTCTGGATTAACATTAAACACTCCAATAAAATCAATACTTCCAATTCTCATAAAAAATTATAATCGAACGGATTGTTGTCCTTGTAAAGAAATTCTTAATGGAAATATAAATGATAAACGTCTATGGATTCGTTGTCAATCATGGATAGCAAGTCTAAATGAATTAGAAGCACGAAAAGCAACTATTATCGATGAAGTAAGTTTAATATCGTACTCAAGAGTATAAGATCACAAATGCTAACACAAAAAAAAGGAGATAAAAATTTTCATCCTGTATCCTGTCCTGCAGGACGCAGTAGGCTAGCAGAGTTTTCTGTAAAGCTTTCGTTTTGATCGATGAAAACGATCATATCTATGTATACACTCAAATCTTTTATTCTTTTTTTTTCACTTTCACTTAACCGTGCAGGAAATATTTGAGACAAAAACAATGATTTCAAAATTTTGTTGATGCCTTCTGTAATGATTGTAGTTGATAGTTTTATCATTTGTAATGCACATGCATACTCACTCAATTGGTTCATACCATCTGAAGGACTATAATTATATGTGTTTTGACAAATGCGACTACTCATGTAACTTTCAATTCGTTTGCATTCTCTATCATTATTTTTTATTACTGAAAAACCAAATGCTTTCCAAAATACAGGTTTTAAATTCATCGCTTTGCTTATGGTTATTTGATACAGACTAGTCTCATTTTGTTATAAAACATCTAATTTTCACTTATTGAAGATTTACGAATTTAGTATCTTATTTGTTTTCATAGTGGAATTTAGCTTGTGGGTATGAAAATCGCAAAAACCTTATGATAGGTTCTATATCCTTTTTAATTGCCGAGCTCATTGGTGTTATATTAATTGGCATTTTAGCTGATCGATATGGAAGAAAATTAATGTTTTTAATGTGCCTTTATATACCGGTGGTATGTGTTAAGAAAACACTTCAGTTTTTTTATTTTTTCAATTTTTTTTCAGCTTTTCGGATCGTTGGCTGCTTTTACTACAACTTATACTCTATTTCTTATTCTTCGTTGGCCTGTAGGATTTTTCAATAGCGTTAGTTCATATTTAATCCAGTTAATCGATATACTTTTTGTTTTTTTTTTTTTTTTTTTACCAAACTTTAGGGTCTTCTTTTACTTGTTTTTATAATGGTTATTGAATCATGTGAATATAAACATCGGGCACAAATTGGTTGTCTTCTTCTTGCTTCTATACCTATTTTTGGTATTATTATTGGTGTTACTTATTTTTTTCTATCAGATTGGCGTCATATGCAATTACTTGGTATTATTTTCACTATTGATTATTTTATTTCAAATCTTACTCTTTCAATTTAGGTACATTAATTACTACTTTAACACTTTGTTATCCATGGTAAAAAGAAATTCTTTTGTTTTTGAAATTTTATTAATTGAAAATGATAGGTTAATACCAGAATCTCGTCGATGGTATGTGAATAGTAATCGTATATCACGTGTTAATAAACTTTTACAATTATGTTCGAGTACACAAACACCAACACTAAGTTTAAATAAAGTTGGTTCACCTGCACCAACAACTATTATATATGATAAACCGATTTTATCAACAAATACTCGTCGTGTTCAAATAGGTTCAATATCTTTTTTACTAATCAATCAACAACTTCGTACAATTACTTGTTGTTTATTTATACTCTGGTTTGATTCTTTTTATTTTCTTTTCTTTAATTTTATTGAAATAATTTATGCTTCGATTTTTTAATTAAAGGTTTCTTTCATCATTTTGCTATCATTCCATATTTTTTCCAAGAATACTTTCACATCCAACTATCAATTATGTTTTGATGAATGCAACTGAATTTTTTTCATTTATTATTGCACTTATTGTTGCTTACAAGTAAGTTATGAATAAATAATAGAATAGAAAATATGATTAAAATATGATAGAATTGGTCGTCGAGCTCCATTAGCTGTACTTATTTTAATTAGTGGCCTTTCTTCTGTTTCATTAGCGATTACATTACTTGAAACAGGTTTGATAAAGGAAAAAAATTCATTTTTATAATTAGCTTTATTTGAAAGGACATACATGGCTTGAAATAATATTATCCTTTGTTGCTCGTACGTGTTTTCGAACTTGTTATTGTCTTCTGATTTTATTTACAGCTGAACTTTATCCAACATCAGTTCGGTAAAACTGTTGTTGTTTTTTTACTGTTTATAAATGACATATGAATATTTAATTTGTTTCTTAGAGCAACAGGTTTGGCTGTTGGACTTGCTAGCGAAGTTCTAGCACGAATTTCAGTTGAACTTCTTCTTTATGTATGTTAAATTTTAAATTTTCGTCTTTTCTTTTCCTTTGACTAACGTAGACATTTTGTGTATTCTCTTTCAACTATGGCCTTGAAGTGGAGTTCGATCGGACTGGAGTCTAAGCTAATAGTTCTTCACTAATGAAATTTTTAATGAGATCCTTGCAAATACAATCAGATGGACTTGCTCATTTAGGACTAGAAAGCTATTGTATGCGTTAATGAAACGAATTATTAAAGCTGTTGTCTATGTAAGGCCGAATTGTAAATAGTCAGTTCAGAAAATGTTTCAAACCAGTGAAAAACTGATCGCTGTGCAAACAGCGATCCAAACTTAAATTTGATCTTTACTATAACATGTGTCATTCAAGTTTAGCTTCTGTCACCTGGTTTTGATTGTCCTTTTTAAAAAATGAAATATACTTCCATCCAAGAAATAAACTAATGTGGACGAACATAAGCAAATCACACTTGCTCTCAACAAGTTTTATCAGAGAAAAATATAATATCTATAAAATATTTTTCAATCGGGAAAAATCGGCCGGATCGGACCCATTACAACTTTATTGTAAGATTTCTTTGCTATCACAACTGCAATATTTTATAAGTTACTTAACCTCAGCATTAGACTTCGAACTGTTAATCAGTCAATCACACCTCATACGGAAAATTATACTTATTGACACAATGGTTCTATTGAGATCTATCCACGTTACTAAATATGATGATTTCTAACTCTGTCAAATCAGATAATAATTTCATTGAATTTTTTTTAATATAGTTTACTATTGATCGATTATTGCCTTTATTTATATCTGGTGGTATGCTATGTCTTAGTTGTTGTTTAATATTTCCATTACCTGAAACAAAACTCTATGATATACCTGATTCACTTAATGATCTTCAATCCATGAAACGTTCACTAGGAGATGAAAATGGCAATAAAATATTACCATATCATTCGCGTTATCATATGATCGATTCAAATACACTTACACTTGCTCGTATATCAGAATCAAATACAATAGCATCGGATCTTAATGATTTATCTTCATTACATGCTAAAACAATTATAAAATCGCAACAGCAAGGAGATAGTGATGAAAAAAGTCTAACGATTCGTTCTCAAGCTGAAACAATTCAATTACATTCAAATACATCATCAATAAAAGGTCTATCCAATCCATGTTATTTTGGATCCTTAAATAATACAATCGATCAATTTGATATTGAACAACAAGCAAATAATCGAGTAGTGATTAGTATTCGAGGTGCACAAAATAATAATAACAATAATAACAATAACGAAGAAGAACGAGAAAATACTAAATTTTAAAAAGAAATATATGTATATGTATATATATTGATAATTCATGAAAAATGTCTTTGTTGTATCACTTTTTTTATTTATTATTAAAATATGAAGAATTTATTAAAAATAATATTGAGAATAGATCAATACGAAACTTATAAATTAAATGTATAACATTCAAGAAACAATTAAGCAAATATTAAACTAAGAATGTTTTGAAACTTTGATAGATCAGTACGATAAAAAGGAAAATATACTTGTTGAATACTTGATTTCTTCTTTTTTACGAATTTATTCGATGATGTCTAGCCTACTCAGATTTCTTGATTAAGGAAGCTTAGCTCTCTAAAATGTCCGACTTCCTGACAATTTTTCACAGCTTCATGGTAACTTTGGACAGTAATGAACGATTGGACTTGGATGATCCGGCAACAAGTTGTCTGTTGTGAGAAAGGACCAAGTTATGGTGAGTTTCGTTCTCTTCGCCTTATCTGCCTCTAGATATGTCTTAGTATAGAAAAACATAGTATATATCGTAAAAGAGAAATGAATGAAATGAGTCAAACTCAAATATTAAACAGTCTTTATTTATTAATAAATGATCGAGGAAGTTCAAAATAAAAATAATCATGTGATATGAAAATATAGATAGGAAAGAATTTGATTCTTTCTCCGAATATCAAGTCATCTATATGTATGATATTTATCATTCTAATAATGCAGACAATGTCTAATAAAGATTTAAATCGATGCACATCAAAGAATTTTATATAGTTAACAAAATTTTGAATGTACTTAACCCTACGACATGTGAAATAATCACATACGAGTATAATCGACCTATTGTCCATTGACATACAATCGATTCGTTTTGATATAAAAATAAAATTGACGTTAACGAGTATGTCATGCGGAGAAATTATCCTCAAATTGGGTTAGGACAGAATATGCGTATCGATATGATACTTTTTCATTGAATCTTATTAATTTGATACTCATTATCACGAAATGTTATTGATTTATATCCATGTATTAACTTCTGCCAATTTTCTCATATTAAAACCTATCTAATAAAATACATATAAAAATCTATTAAATTGGAAAAAATCAGTCAAACATAATAGTTAATCAATATTTCATCTCAAAATGAGAACATTCTTATAGTCTAAAGTGGAATTACTCATGAACAAAATGCAAACAAATTCAATATATATGTCCAATAACTAGATCGATTGATACTTAGTGAAACGTCAAACAGTTCAAATACTTTTCTTTTCTCTCTGATATATTCTTCTCTCTTCGAGAAAAAAAATATCAAACCTAATGTGCAACAATCATTTCTCGTACGATTTTTATCAAGTAAAGATGTATATACAACAATACAATGAAAATATTTAAAAAGCCGAATATTGGTGATTGTATAAAAGTTTAATGAAGAGAATGAGACATATGAATATATACATATATTGTAAGTAATTCAATATAAACCGGGATAATACTTGAAAAAAATATTTAAATATTTGGTTTTCTGTAAATCACCTCTGTTTTCGAGTTCATTCGTATTATTCAATATATAAACTCGAACTCACGGGTGGATATACAGCCAGATTCGCGACATACAATTATTAATTTTTATAATAATTTACTTTCTTAGACATTTGTATATTGCACAAGTTACAAATATATATGATTATGAATTTTCTAGGTTGTTATATTTTTCGATAATAATCGAACATATCCGACCAATCTTGCATTCAATGATAGATTAAATTTTTATATTTAGAAAAAAAAAACAAAAACAAAGATATCTGAATTCATATTATTTATCTAAGAAAGTTTGTATCCCAAGATCAATAGAAATTCTTTATAGAACATAACACAACAAGAAAAACTTCAATTAATGTGATAAAATAATTATCTAAAAACGAATATTTGCTTGTTTAATGAATATGTATCACCTATCCTCAAAGTTCCATCTAAAAGATTTATTCATTTTTCCAAAATGATAGGTTAGCTATATATCAAGTCTTCAGTTATATGAATACACTTCAAGCGTATTCTTGGAAGCGATCACTTTTAATTCGAATTTGTCAGTTGCTCAAATAAAATAACGTGGAAAAATACTTTTTGTGGACTTTTCGAATTTCTATAGATTTAAAAAACTTGTTGCTTTTTTATTCTCAAAGTTGCAAAACATAAGAAATAATACATAAAGAACATGGATTTTGTATTGAACACATAATTCTTTTCAATGGATTTCGGCTATGAAGTCTTCTTTAAGACAACAGATGTTTGTGCGACAATAAGATATTCCAACGAATTTGTATTTGAGCAGATATTGAATATACTAACATTCAAATTATAAAAACCATTGGACACATGTCTCATTTCTGAAAAAACACTTTCGACATTGGTGTTACTTGTTGGTATAAAGCACAAAATGAATCATATCGATAATAATAGACTATAGACGATAGCTACCACAACTTACTTGATATTAACAGTATTTTATTGTTTCAAATTTTTCAATAAAAAATAAATCAAATTTTGTCATATAAGAAAGAGGAGTAAGTGGCAACTCTGCCTCTAACTGAAATATAAAAGTTTATCTCTTTTTCTATATGGAAAAGATATTATGCAATGATTATTTTAATTGCTTCATTTTCTTGGATGTTACTCACTCGATCACTATCGACGCATTGGTTAATAATCACAGCTGCTATATTTACCCTCAAAGTGATCGATGTGGCCACTTCGAAGTTGTTATTTATAAACAAACTGAATGTTGGATCAACACATAACCTTGGCATGCTTCAAAGCACTTTTAACCTGATATTATAAAAAAAAATAATTATTCAAAATCTAAGATTTCAGCAACATATGAAATCGTCAAATTGCTCCAAGATGGCTCATTACTGTCTGACAGATAAGTTTGATAAATAGGTAGTTTAGAAGAGATGGATTCATTTCATAAGTTTTGTGATCACTAGACTTAGCCCTACTGAATTTCATTGTATGAAAATATATGAAAACAAAAGTCTATTTTTCTGCACATAAAAAGAAGCTAAATTTGTGCATTTTGGTTAGAGCTAATAACTTTGAAATGGGTTTTTTGAACTTTGCTCATGTCATAAGGAACTTGATGGATAGACTTATTATTAAAAAATGTTAGTTAATAAAGTTGAATCGAATAATGAACATATACTGAAAAGCTTTCGGAAAGGAACTTTTGTGATACCTTGTTGATAATTGAGATCAATGAATACTTCATCCAATGGTGAAAGAACTCATTGACAATTACATTTGTCGAGCAAAATCGAACAAAGTGAGTGACAAAATATTTCATATGTATCCATCTCATTTGAATTAACAAAAAGTATTACATAATTGAATAATATTGATGATTATAATAGATTTTCAATGGAAACGTCGTAATAAAAAGCAATTAATTCAATTTATCATACGTTAACATAAAATATGGCGATATAACATGACATTAACTTAATAACCTAACAGATTATAATAATCGTGTACATAATCAAATTATGAGGTAGAAAATTTTGATAATAATGATTTAATAATAATAACTTTTTAGAAACAAATGTGATTCGAAAGCTATAAATTTTCAAGAAAAATTTCACTATTTTACGTCAACAAATTTCATTTGGACTCGATTCCGATTACTAAGACAATAAACATAATTACAATTATTCACGTAATATAATCCAATGATTCCATAGTGCCTATTATAACTCTAAGAATTTTCATCTATTAACAAAGTCATAAAAATACCCACTTGAAAAATATTCGTTAAAGACAATATAATATTCGAAAGCAGTCCTACATAACTTATAAATTTTATAGGTTGACTTGGGAACCGATAATGAATATAAGTAATATAACGACAATTAAGAGGACCAGTCAAACAAGTATAAACATGCGTTTTTAATGATGAGATATTTAATGTATCTTTCAGAATAGGTATGATCAGATAAAAAGAAAAAGTTAAATTTCAACAAAATAATGACTCAAAATAACATCTGTTTTTTTTTTGTTCATAAGATTACAATTAATTGTTATGTTTGTAGTTCACAATTTCCATTAATAAAACTTATGTACTTCGTTGCATAAAATAGTGTTTGAATGACAGGTAAGAAATGTTCATCAATGGTGTTCATCCTGATTTGACAATCTGCCTGACGAGATCAAAATTCTGATTTCGAACTGGTAGAAACTGTCATTTGAGTGAGTATGCGTCGGCGAGACTAGATGCGTGGATGAAGAGTGGATCCACACTGACACTTCGGAACTAAATTAGGTTAGATAGTAAGTTAGTAGTTGAGAAAAACCAAGCTGTAATTCATGATGCACACACCATGGTTGAATAGATGGTGTATTTATGAATAGAGATGATAAGTATTCAGAAAGAGTGAAAGTAACGAATCATCACTAAAAGCTAGACCGTCGAAATGAAATGAATGAACATAGATGATCAAAAGGCATTCAGTGATGTTCCTTTCAGTAATATTTGTTTCGGCATGATTTTCGGCGATGAGATACAAAGTCAGTGGAAAAGCGAAACCAAATCCAAAAAAGGATAACTTCTGACTTCGATGTACAATAAAAATTATAGAAGTTTACCCTTAAAACTCAATTCCTAAAACTATGCGAGAAAAGTTCCGACATTATTTATACTGAGTAAGAAAAAGAAACATCTAATCCATTCTATTAAAATCGCTCCAAAACTGACGATTTTATCGCGATTTAGTTACTCGATTAAGAAGTGACATTATATTGCAATAATTCATGAAAACGTAGGCGATTTGAAGGATATCGGTTGCTGTTGTGCTATGATTCCGTAATAGCATTGGATTGTTATTGAGAAATGCTCATCGAGTCATAAGTCATACCTTTCACTGTGGTTTTAGATATGTTGAAAAAGATTCGATTTCGTCTCAAGGCCATCTTACCTTTACCTATCAGAAAGTTGTTGCTGTTCACATTTCATATTTCATTTTCTTTTA